TTTAAAAAAAATAACAATAATAATAAAAATTCTTAAATTATATCAAATTTTTAATATAAAATTTTGTTTATAATACTTTTTCATAATAAAAATTTAAATTAAAATAAGGAAAATGAGGAATAAAAATTAGAAATTAAAGATGAGATGTCATCAATATTCAAAGGCCCAGGAGGGGGCAAAAACATAACGAAATTTTCAGTGTTTTTATTTGTATATGTTAGACTCTTACTACCAATCAGGCCAATTTTAACCCACGATTGGCCTGAAAAAAAAGGCCTTCTAGGTACCAACAGAGCGAAAAGAGTAAATCAATATTCAAGTCCTACTCCATTATCTTATGCAGCGATATAAAAGGAAAAAAATAAAATAAACTACAGATAAATGATAAAAATAAAGAACTTCATCTTCAACAAAACTTATCTCAATTGACCATTTCTAATTTCCTCTTCAATCATTTTTCCCATTATACATGAAAATTACCTTTTTCCTCAATTACTGCTGTAGTAACAATTGGTATTGTAATAAATAATAATAAAAAAAATCTAATATTTTATAGAATAAAAACCGAAAATATTCTTGAATATTTAAAAAATTTATACAATTATCGATTTTACTCTTTTTTTTAAAAAAAAATCGATGATGATTTTTACCACATCATCCAATAGCGACTACCATTAACGATCTTTTGAAGAATTTTTATTTTTATTTTTTTTAATATAAATTTTCCACATGGAATAAATTCTCGTTATGGATAATAAATGTACTTAACTATGAACCTCTTGTTGGTAGGATATTAATATTCATGCAGTGGTAAATTATCGGCTTCGACACTAGTAGAGCAATAATGCAATTTCAATTAATAAAGAAATATTTAATGAATTATTCAAAGCACGGAAATAAGAGTGTCAATATTACTTAAATTTATCATAGTTTATATTGTTTTATTTACAAAAATTTTTTAAAAATCACGGGGGGGTTTTTAATGCGAATTGCATACGAAATGATTTACTTAATTGTAAATTAGACACGTAAACTTAATGTTGACAAATTGCCGTATTTGAGAATATAGTTTTACTGCTGGTAATTTCGTTAACGACACTTAATGTTTGCGTACTGATTTCCCAATGGTGTAGCTATATGTAACAACGAAATATATCATGGATCCATGCTTCAAGTAAAGAAAAACGAATGAAAAAAAAAGTAGGAACAAGGGTTTCAACTTCGTCTTCGATTCTAGTGAGGTGACAGTTTTCGTAGCTATGGAAACTAGGACAGCTGTAAAGGTCACACACAATGGAGCCTTCTCTCTTATACTTTAACCAATCCTAGAACTCGTATAAAAACGATTTTTTTAAAACATTAATTTGATTTGAATGTTTTTTTCTTTTAATTATATTTCTGTTTAAATCTTAAGAGGCTACACACGATTGGTTAAAATATCGATGATACGACAGATTCTATCCAATTATGTTACTCCATGGAGAAAAAGTAATGCATGAAAAACCATTGAAAGGATTAAATTGTGAATTATAAAAAAGTATTTTCAATAATTAAATACCGCAGAATTTTATTAAATTTTGAATAATTTAAATTTATTACAGTTTATACCTTGTATAAATTCAAATGGTAGAACCCACCACGGATCTGTTAACCACGAAATGTAAAGAAATCTGCAGATATTACCGAAAAGTCCAATGCATAGAACCTGAGAAAAAAAATATTAGAAAATAAATTTTTTAAAATTATAAACAACTTTTATAACGTATAAAAATTACCTTTGTGTGTCCTATTTGTTTTATGAATTTAAAACTAAAAAAATAGGCGAAAATTTCGGATACGTGGTTTATAACGGATGCCACACCGAAAAGTGTAGGTGTACCACCTAAATCTTGAAGATGCCAAAAGAGAAAAGTGAAAACTAATCCAATTCCGAAACCCATAAACCATGTTACGTATAGAAAAGCTGCGTAACGTATTGTTGCAAAAGTGCGAAGAACATCTAACCATTCTGATAAATGCTGAGTTGTTTGAGCGAATACTTCACTCTACACGAAATAAAATTTAATAATTAAAACCACGAAGTAAATACTTTCCATTGAAACTTAATGATGTCTTACTTTAGCTGGAGCTGTTCCATCTTCAGTTTTAATGGGTTCGTTTGTTGCTATCTGGGTTTTAACAGCACCCATGGGTATATTTTCTTCTACAGATTCGTAATCAAATCGAAATTGTGTTGCAGAGATAAAGGCACAGCCCATTAACACAGAAAAAGTGGCGAAGCAAATAGTATAGTTCCTTTCACGTCCATGAGGTTCGCATGGATGATATGGAAACACTTTAGATTGATCCAAGGCTATACCAACAAAAAACATGGCTAATCCCCATCCTAATGAACCGAACATTCTTTGTTTTCCATAATTATCTATATTTTCACCCAAAAAACATAAAGTAGCAGAATCAGCTAATGTAATTGCTGGTGCACTAAAAAATTCTCCGAGTACAATTAAGAGGAGGAGCAAGAAGAACACCTCTTGAACATCTTCTCTCTTGTATACCATGGAGCTGAAAGGTGGCGATACGTACGAATTGTCTTTATCAGTGTTAGCATTTGATGTATAATCTACAGTTTGGGGTGATTTCCCTACTACAAAACGTACCGGAAGTTGATCATTTGCCTCACGCACAACTCTTTTATATCTGATTAACAAATCTATAGGTTTGTTATGAATATTTATTTGAGCATCAACGTTTCTTTTATTTCTTTCTTCTTCGGGATCGTATGGAATTTGGTAAGTGCTGCCATTTTGTACGACAGTATCTTTACTATTTAGATCATATTTTTTATCTATTTCGTTTTCAGTTTCGTACAAAATTGGAAGGGAAACATTTGATAAGTCATTGTATGTTTCAATGCTTCTTTTATCCCTTTCAGCATCGGGTTCGTAATAAACATTATGTGTAGCATTAGACATCATGCAAGAAGAAGCGGGCGGTTGGATAAAATTAAGTGCCAGAGTGAAAATAATCCAACAGCCTAAGGAAAAGAGTAACATTGTCTTACCTTTACGAAACCTATCAGCAACATTTCCCCATAGAGGAGCGCTGAGAAATTCTACAAAAGGACGGAAACCAATTAACATACCGCTCTGTTCGGGATTCATTCCTAATTGCTTAAAGTAAACACCCAAAAGGGGAAACAGAGAACCGAAAGCAGAAAAGAAGAAGAAATAAAACAGTTTAGACACTAATAAATCTTGATTGACTGCAGTCAATAGATTATCGATGACGTCTCCTTTCCCTGTAAATTGTTTCTTATCCTCATTTAAATTTCTTTCTTGATGATAAGTATTTGGTTGCTTATCATCATCTTCCTGTTCGTTCTTCATTTCACTTTGATCCATCTTTCTTCTATGACACTCAAAACTTCCTTCCTTAATAAATTAGATTTTTATCTTGAAATATTCTCTGGAAAAAAACAAAACAAAAAAATATATTTATAAATAAATGAATAATTTTACTAATTAAGAAATTAATTAAAGTGATGAGTTAAATATATAATAAACAAAGAATTAATTCTATTTATTTATTTTTCTACATTAATTACTTAAAATTCTTTAAGTATTTATTATATAATAATATAAACGAGGGTAAATATTACTCAATTAACATTATTATTTAATTAATTTATATTAAATTTTTCAATTCTTCATCGTAGAAACAAAATTTTAATTTGTTTATTAAATAATTTAACCTTAAAATAAAACAAATTATAGTAAAACAAAATACACGTATACTACCTCTATTATTTTATTTATATTTTTTAGCATTGATCTAACGTGGTACAACACGAAATTCTTCCAACTACATACCTCTATATATATATATATATATACAGTATATACAATTACACTTAGTTTCTCTACAAAATTTATCAGCATTTACACACATGTATATAAAGAATTTACGTTGTCTAACTATAGAAATGTGCGCTATTTCAGTACACAGGATAGAAAGAATGCGAAAGAACACCTGAGCTTACCTGTATAAGGGGTTAAATATTCATAAGAGTGATATTTCCAATGGTGAAACATGTTACCCAATTGTTGAAAATCCTATTGTTAAGGTGATAATAAGTTGTTAAACATTGAAACTCCTATACAAGCCCGATAATAATTATAGTAACATAGATAAAATGCAGACTGTACGTCGAACTAGTTCCACTTTTCGTTTATGTTCGATCGATAGAGGAATATGCACTAGCGCCCCTCTTCCCTGTACAATGCCTTTAATGGATAAAGGTATTGGATGGTTTGTCTTATCACTTAATTCAATCGCCATCATATCTTGAATGGGAATTCCTTTATAAATTGTGATTAAATCCATTAATTATATAACACTAAATCAAACTACAAAACTACTTACGTCATTAGTTTAGTTGATAATTATCTAAATGTTCTCCTAGTTTTAATTAGTACAAGAATTCTCGTATTATATTTAATATTTTTAAAAATTAAATATTATTATTATTATTTTATNCAAATATGTAATTGCCTTACTTTCATGATTTTGGCAATAACCTAATATTATATAAGTTCTCTTGGTGTAGAAACAATGTCAAATTTTGCATTATTTTTCTAATTATTTCCGTAAATATTTCTAAGTTTTTTAGTTAAAAAAATTATGTCATCAAATTTTTAATAAATATAGAAACTGAATAAAGTGTAGAATTATTTTTAAAAAAAACTATAAAATTTCTCAGAATACTTAATGATAAATTAATGAGTAATATAAAAAAGCAGTAAATGAATGTAAATTTATGGAAAATTAGTAGATTTTTACTTAAAATAGACGACAAAAATTGTATTATAATTAATTTCTTATGCAAATCACTTCCTAGACAATTATAAAAAGTAGCTAGACACCAGAATAGTTGAACGTATATATAAAGGTAAAACAAGTTAATATTATTCTCAATGACATATTTTGTAAAGTCTAAATTAATTTTATGCGAAAATTTAAACTTATATTTATTTAATTTATATTTAACTCATTTATAAATTATAAATTACTGTTCTATTTTAAATAAAAACGTTTAATAATAATAATATAATAATTTATCGGATAAATTACGTACAGACAGGCCTAAAAATCAGTTAACCATTGTTACCTTAATTAAATAATCTGCTGAAATGATTCTGTTAATTGATTTTTGGGCCACCCTGTACACTATTTAACTGTTAAATTATTGTTATTACCCAAAAATCAGTTAACCATTATTGTTTAATTCAAATAATATGCTGAAATGATTCTGTTAACCAATTTTTGGGCCACCCTGAGTTATGTATATATATATATATATTTTAAATTAAGTTAAGTATTTAGATATAAAATATTAAAATTAAAAATGATTGTATAATAAAGGCATTAAGATAAGAATTACTAGCTATAAGAATAAATAGTTTGATGGTTTTTAATATTTATTAAGAAGTTTTAAAGCGATAAATTTAGTCGATCGTGATGCTTTTAAGTTATTTGAATTTTAAATTATAAACGATTTATTTTATTTTATTTTATTTTTTAAATTTTATTTTTGCCTGCTGAAAATATTATACTGATGATTTATGACCCTAGCATAATTAATAATCCTCTAAATGACTATTTTGCAACCTTTTCTTAACCAAGGAATGGCTTTATATTATACAAACAGTCTATTAGGGTTTGCGAACTACTGATTGGTAAACATAGTCTTGTCTTTAAATAAATAAATAAATATATATATATATATATAATTGAAAATAGTATAAAATATTTACTGTTAAATATGAAACACGCCACGAATTTTAAAAGTTTTAAATGCTAATAACGAATTAATTCTTCATTAAGTCCGACTCCACTAGAGATACGAAACGTTACTCCCTTCTATCTCTCCAACCTCTCGACCTTTAACAACCAAAATTTGATAGTATTAATTCCCATAATATACAAACCTTACAACAAAATTTCAGAAAATTTCGACAAAAGGAACAGGAGTTATTAAGCTTTAAAGTGGGAGAACAAAATCGTGCTTCCATACATACTAACACTTAAAATTATAAACTACAGCAGTTAAGTGGGTAGGAGTTCGATATTTTATATTAATTAATTAATTAATCGTGCCTAATATATACTGGCATATTGTGGGTTTTATTTGGTATCTTTATATGTAAATACTGATTAAATATATCTCAGAAGAATAGCCTTCTACAATTATATTGTTTGGAACAATTGTTTAATCATTTCCTTAATATTAGTCAATTAAACCAGCAGATTATCATTCTAGTAATGTTAAAATATATATAATTAAACTAGCAATTTTTTATTTTATTTAAAATATATGCTCTCCATTTCAAATTAGTAATGGCTTGCCCCTGTACATCATACTTTTCCTTTAACGATAGAGTCGTGCTAGTCATTTATTTACCTCCATTCCTGAGATTATGGACAGACGGACGGACAGACGGACGATAATGGAAATCTATACTTCTATGATTTTTTCAAATTGCAGTCCCAAAAATTCACTGTTATTATTATCTCATTTATTTATGGTATTATACAATTATAAATAAGTATTATTATCATCATTATTTACGAGTAAATTTTTTTTATATTTTATACTTAAACATTAGTTATTAATATAACATTAATTTACTTAGATAGAAAAATAATAAGTATAATAAATCCTCTAAGTGTTCTATAATTTAATTAGTTTATTCCATAAACATGTGGAATGTCTCTAATTAAACTTTATGGATATTATATTATAGGACAAAGTTGTTTTGAATGTTTTATAGTTATTTTCTTAGAAAAATCAATTTATTTACTTGTTAAAAATTCAATTATGTACTTAGATTTTTACTTTTATCAGCTATAATAAAATTATTTAACAATTTACGATGTTATCTTGCATCAAAACTTACTTTCATATTTAGTCTTCTATATGTTTTTTTGGTATATTAAAATCACTTATTTTGTATTATTTTTAATTATATATTTTATTTTAAAATAATATTTAACATATAAATTTTGTAATTCTCTCTTTCTTTTTCTCTCCTTTTTATCTTTTCCTCTCTCCCTTTTCCCTCTTTCTCTGGTATCTTTTCTCTTTCTTTCTCTCGTATATTTTTCATCTATAAAGGAAACAAAAATATAAATTTTATATTAAAATTGTATATTTAATTTAATTTGTTAAAAAGGAATTAATAAAGATTGTTTTCTTTTATTTACGACAATTGAATTATCCTTTTTGTCTAAGACTGAATGAATCGTAAGGTCTTAAAATCCTTGTAAACAGCGAAACCTTTTTAAAAATTAAAAATTGAGTTTCACTAGTTTCTGTATATTTAAAAATTTAGTAAACTTTAAAAGCAAGCACGCATTTAAACAAAGAAAACGTTTCACAAATGATAAAAAGACATTAACAGAGATTTCCTTGTAGAGATTACTGTAGCCTGAAGTTTTAATCCTCTCTCTCTCTCTCTACAGCTAAACTACCGCTTGAACTGCTATCAAAATTACATTTACATAGTACAAAACATTAATAAAAATGATAAAATATTATAAAAACAGACTTCCTCAGTTTCTTTATATTTTAAAAATGTATTAAACTTAGTAATCTTAGCTGTAGAAAGGATTAAAATTCCATATTTCATCAGCAACATACGAGAAGGACATATTGCGAATTAATACTTTTTCATCATATATGGAAGATTTCTTTGTAAAAATACAAATTTATTTTTTAAAGTTTACTAAATTATTACAGACAATCTTCAGTTTATATTAATATTATAACAATTATATAAAAATTAATTATGAAATAATATATATCACTCACTCTTTGGTGTTCGGTTCTGGAGGGTCCTTGACCGCTTTGATGATTAATCTTCAGAAGGTTGTATCCTGTGCAATTTCCTTCCATCTTATTCCTTCCTGCAGGATATTATTAACATCATTCTTTACTTCATCCTCCCATCTAAGAGGTGATCTTCCTTATGTAAGAAGTCTGGTATAGTCAGTGCCAGCCACATGCCCAGAAGCCTGTCGCATTAATAATTAAAAATAAATACTTTACAGTATAATACTATGTAAATATATAAATTTGAACAGAATCTTTACTGTTTTTATTAAATATAGTCGTCATAAAATTCAGCATCAGGAAATTCTGTCTGTTCTCTCTCCTCTCTATTTCTCTTTCGAGGTGTTTGAATCATCATCGTGTTTTCGCTAGGTAAATCTTAGATATTTTAAATATATTTTTGTTATAGATGAAAAAGAGAAAAAGAGAGAGAAGAGGAAAGAAAGAAGACAGATCGAGAAAATAGAGAAATAAGATAAAGAGAAAAGAAAGAGGGGATAGAGAGATAAAAAAGAAAGAGAGAAGAGGGGCGAGATAGCGAGAGAAAATGGAGAGAGAAGAGAGATAAGACAGAGAGAGAGAGAAGGGGGCGAGATAGCGAGAGAAAATGGAGAGAGGAGAGAGATAAGACAGAGAAAGAGAGAGAGAGAGAAGGGGGCGAGATAGCGAGAGAAAATGGAGAGAGATGAGAGATAAGACAGAGAGAGAGAAAAAAAATCCTTCATCCAATGCATTTTAATCATCTAACAAGGTTTCCATCGACATTCGTGTTAACAGATTGAGGATGCAGAGTTACAAAATGAAAAAGTTGTCGTGATCGGATGTGGTTGTGAATGTTAATAACCTTTTTAAAAGATTTTTTAAAAACTTTTTTCCTATTTCCTGAATAAATTTAAAATTTTCTCTCGAAAATTTTATTTAAAAAAAAAATCGAATTAAAACTAACTGAATAGGGGAGATCGGGGCAAGATCGGCATGTTAAGCTTTACTTAAATTTTGTGTAATAAATACTGCTGTAAACTGAAAAAAAAGCTTTGCATATTGTCTATTGGAATGTTACCTTACTATAGAACTGGTTAAAATCAGTTTGGAAATAAAAATAATTAAAATAATTACAACTTTACAAGAAGAGAGAAATTGACGAAGTTGCCCCGGGTATAGGGGCAAGATCGGCAACTTCTCTCTTTTTGTAAAGTTGTAATTATTTTAATTATTTTTATTAAAGTTGCCCCTGGTATAGGGGCAACAGTAATGGGGCAAGATAGGCACGTATATAAAATTATGTTATTAACAATGTATAAGTTGGAATTCACTATTAAAACAAAGAAATACAAATCCAACACCCATTTAATATTATTACAACGAAATGCAAGTTCAAAGACATATATACATGAATAACAAATGCAAACATGTTTTCATTTATCATCTGTTTGATTTTTATCCTTTGCTTCTAATGTGGCTTTATGTTGCCGATCTTACCCCGCTAGTCATGATTTCGAAACATTAAGTACAACCCTGAGAACAGAATGCCAAGCCACGATCTGGCCACGTGAATAAGTTGAAGTTACATCCTTCTAACAGGAAAAGTAACTTTCGTTATCATGGAATTATAACAAAACCTGCCAATTCAATATAAATGGAAAAAAAATATTATATGGAATTGAACGAAAATGAAAATTTGCTTGATAATTCAACTACGCTTGTTGGAGAACAATAAAAACACTACACTCAACAAGCCACCAATAAAACTCAACTGCCTAACCTATAACCAAAGTCTCCTTTTAATTTGTTTTTTAAAAAAAGCGCTTGACAAACTTGCCCCGCATGCCGAAGTTGCCCCGATCTCCCCTATATTTCTACAATAATGAAAAATGTGAGCTGTCTTCTCGATTCTTCGTCTAATTAGCTAATTTGATTTTATAGATGTTAAATAATGATATCATTAATCTAATTTATTAATTAAATCACATTAAGAATAATGCTATTTATTATAATTAATCTACGATTTATCAATCGTTACGTTTCCAATTCATTAATTAATTAATAAAATTTGTGAAATTTAATAAAGTATTATCTTCGTTTTCGTCTTCACAAATCAAAAAAGTATTATTATTATTATTATTTAATTCTTAAATAAAAGCAGCTCTTATTAACTGAAATTAACCGTGTTTAGTTAGTTTAGACTGGTAAACTGTGCTTTTTAAAACTCTTGTTATGCATTGAACACGAGAAGAGTCGCATTTGAATAGCCAGTGGTTAACTGATTTTTGGGCCACCATACATTACAGAACATACCTTAATATATTTTTATAGATTAAATTAATATTTTTTGTTAATTTTTTTAATTTTATAAGATATTTAAATTGAATCAAGTTAAGATATTTTGAAGCTTTAATGGGTACGAATTGAATAATCAGTTTAAATTTAATTAATAGAGATATTAGTTAAATTCATTAATAGAAATCGCTAGAGTATTATCCTCATTATCGAAAATTAAACGATTATTTCGGCCATGATGCTAATATCTTACTAAATGCATCTTTAAAATGCGAAAATTCCAGCTCTTCTCTTCATTCCTCCCATAAATGTGCCTATTTGGCATATTAACCGTGGCCTAAAAATTAGTTAACCGAATAGCTCGGTTAACAGACTTTTGAATAACCATATATCCTTTTTCGATTATCATTTTTAAAGAGATTAATCGATCTGCTAATCGTTATTTTTCGTACTTTCTCATTTACCATCTGCTCAGCATCTTGAGCATCCTCTCCTCCTCATCTTTCTTCCTCCAGCCTTATATTCTTGAATAGGTTCTACCTCAATAATAATAATATCTCTAAAGTATAGTTAAATTAAATTAAAATTAAAAATTTTAATGAATAAAATATAGTTATTGATTTTATTAGTTAAAATTTCAATTAAGGCTGAATGCACTTATGAAATTACTCATTTTCAATAATTGATTGCTGATTTTCTCCATCATTTAAAGCACATTACAGTGAAATTTGACATAGGAATAAAGAAAACAAAATGGATATCGAACCTTATTCTGTAAATCTATCAAAATTTCATTGTGATTTCATCTATCAAAATTTCATTTCAGAATGGTACAGGAATTGCATTCCTGTACCATTCTGAAATATTGAAAAATCTAATTTATAACCCTCTCTCGTGTTTTCACGAATTCGCATTGTCTTGAAGACCGCAACTTGAATTTTTGATGAATTCAAGAAATACCAGAACATTTAATAAAAAATTAATAAAGAGAATTAATTACAATACTTTGTGGATAATATTTAAAACAAAAGAACTAAGATTTTATAAATTAAACACGCGAAATTTACGTAGTTTAAAGTGTATTTATTCACTGTAAATATAACGTTAAAAATGTATAAACTTGTTAAAAATTAAAACCTACATAGCCATTTCTTTATTTAATATAAGACATTCAATCATTGTAAGAAGATAAATATAAATATAACACAATATAAGTGACATATTAACCTCCAACACACGCATAAACCACGTATAAACCGCAATAAAAAATTAAACAGAATAATAAAATTCATTAAAAATACAATTAATTTTTGTTATGTCCTTATATATATTTATTATATAATTTTTAATTAATTTTATTTAACTATAATTTCTGTATAAAAGTATAATTTTGTATGCATCACTTAACGAAACAAAGTTTATGTTCTGAATAGTAATAAGATGCTTAAAATGTTAATTAGATATAATATAATAGTTTAATGTATCTATTTATAAATAATAATATACAAGGCTAAAAGTATAATATTTAAATATGTATTGATTTCATTATGATGAGTAAATTAATTATTAAAAACTAAGTATTTTTCTGCACACGAGATGGCAACACAAGGCGGTGAAGTTTACTATTATAATAGAGAATTGTATTGCATTTCTCGGATCGTATAATACATTTCATGGGTTCAATGTTGGTACTGTATCTGTATACGCTTAATTATCTTCATATGTACTATTTTATATATAATATAAATTATTTTGGAATGTCCTAAAATGAAGGGCGTAGATAATCACTTAACCATGTATTCACACATAAGTACAGTAAACTGTCGATAATACGAATTCTTTAACTCGAATTTTATCTTGAACATAGGCTCTACCAATTTCGTGTTCTTATAAGTCTAACTTTACATTTGATTAACGCAATTTCGTGCGAATTCTTCTGTATTTTCAAGGGCGACGATAATATCACCATTTTGAAAATTAATATTTTACAGAATTATGTTATACAGACACGAAATTTAAAATTTTAACCATGTTTGGCGACTAAAGTAACACAATCAGCGTGAAAATATAAACGTTGTTACATGGTAGTTAGAGCTTATGTATCTGATTTTAAATTAATCACATTACGCATAATACTGTGTATTATAATTAGGTTAATATGAGCCAGTTTTTACATTAATAACAATGAAAGAAAAATATATATGTAAAATTTTTTTAAAAAGTTTAATTTCGTACTGAAAACAACATTTCAGATATTTAATTACGTGATTTAATACGAAATGTAATTTCATAACAAAGAACTACAACAATTGCTAACAATACGCTGCATTTAACAATATTCTATTGTTTAAATAGCTTGGCGAAAATGATGCGCTGCGTTCAGAAGTACTTTTTGCGATTGTGGAATGAGAGAATTAAGAGAAAAAAGTGAATTTCCTTATTAATTACATTTATAATTAAGATTTGTTTAATATTAATTACGAAATAATCGAATTTCTTTATAGGAGAGACGATAAGGCTGCACCAAATGGTCAGCAACATAAAGATTATACTAAAAATGTAAGTCATTACTTTCTCTCTACGAAAATCACACTCACTTGTCAGTTAATAACGATTTTCTTATTACTTTATAAATATTTTTAGATAATATTACAAATATTAATAATTTTTGTAGATTGACGATAACTTTCTTGGAACAAAGTGTTTTTCCTTTAACAAAGAAGATTCAGAGATCCAAGGAAAGAAACCCAAGGAAAAAGCGAAATTTACAGAATTCTGCACAAATGCATTCTGTAAATTGTTCTGTTGTGTGTCAGAGGAGATTTCTGGTTCTCAGGTAAGACGTCGTTCTTTCTGTCGTCTTCCAATTAACAAATTATACACCTGAATCATCTCACCATTCTAGGAATGCAAACTCGCCATTTCTGAACTCGGACTTGACGATATTTCAAGATATAAACAAAATGTAATTGACGATTATGAATTCAAAGAAATAGGAAAAGGCAATTTCGGAACCGTTCGTTTGGCTGTATCTAAAACTTCCGATGAACGAGTGGCCATAAAAACAATACAGAAGAAGCAATTTTGTCCCCAACAAGTATGTTCTTAGCATCACTCACGATATTCTTCGCTTTCCCGTGACATAAAAATTAATACGTTAAGTTAATATAGTTGATCCAATTCAATAATTAGCTATTTTTTATCATTAGCACACAAAATATTTATTGTACATCTTAAAAAACAAATAATTTAAAATGTTTTTATTAACATTTTCAAAACTACACATATTAACAAAAATCGATGTTCTATAAACATTAATTAGAAATGTCTACAGAATATTCTTCATTTGCATTTAGTTTAAATTAAAAACCATTTCTTTATTTACAGAGACGAGAAATAAAGAGAGAACAAAAAGCATGGGCATCCTCATCCAGCCATCTTCATGTTGTGACTTTATTAGCTTTATTTACTTTAAAACCGATACGAGGTAACTTTCAACCCTTTACGTTTGAATTATTGCTAATATTTTATGGTTTTATGGAGTAATAATTCTGTTTTTAGTTTCTGTTTCGTCTTCGACTATGTGGACGGACAAGATATAACGAATTATTTACAATACAATGGACCCTTCCGAGAAACTCAAGCTAAAATAATTGCTTCTCAAGTGGCTTCGGCCATCATGTTTATTCACAATAAAGGTGATTATCTAAGTCGATTTATTCGTCTTTTCGTCAATAAATGTGATTGTATGACAAAATTTGTTTTTATCTTCGACAGGAATAATTCATAGAGACATAAGCTCTAATAACATCATGCTCGATAACACCAAAGGAGCACAGTTAATCGATTTCGGTCTGTGCACAGTAAGTAGTGAATACTGTAATATACAAATTTTCGTTGAACTATAGAATTCTCATTGACTGATTATCTTTCTGTCAGTTTGAACGTAACCCGAATGAATTTTGCGGGACTTTGTTCTATGTTTGTCCGGAAATCCTTGAGGGAAAGCCTTATGGTAACTTGTTCTATTCCAATTTAATCACGTCATTTTAAGTCTTGTAGTTATTAATAATATGCATTGATTTTAGACGCTTACTGCGATTGGTGGGCATTTGCCACCGTATTATACGAAATGTTAATCGGAAGCACCCCATTGGACATTTAACTAGAAAAANCTTTTTGCGATTGTGGAATGAGAGAATTAAGAGAAAAAAGTGAATTTCCTTATTAATTACATTTATAATTAAGATTTGTTTAATATTAATTACGAAATAATCGAATTTCTTTATAGGAGAGACGATAAGGCTGCACCAAATGGTCAGCAAGATAAAGATTATACTAAAAATGTAAGTCATTACTTTCTCTCTACGAAAATCACACTCACTTGTCAGTTAATAACGATTTTCTTATTACTTTATAAATATTTTTAGATAATATTACAAATATTAATAATTTCTGTAGATTGACGATAACTTTCTTGGAACAAAGTGTCCTTCCTTTAACAAAGAGGATTCGGAGATCCAAGGAAAGAAACCTAAGGAAAAAGCAAAATTTACACAATTCTGCACAAATGCATTCTGTAAATTGTTCTGTTGTGTGTCAGACGAGATTTCTGGTTCTCAGGTAAGACGTCGTTCTTTCTGTCGTCTTCCAATTAACAAATGACCACCAATCGCTTACTGCGATTGGTGGTCATTTGCCACTGTATTATACGAAATGTTAATCGGAAGCACCCCATTAGACATTTACCTTGAAAAAATGAAGGTCGACATCAATTCATTCTCTATTATCGACATGATAAACAGTAAGCGATTATAATTTTGAATTTATTCCCAATAAAAGATCAATGATTAATATAAAAATGCTTTTACAGTTGCTCAAAATATGGAGTTGGTGTATCCGAATCGTACGCTACTGTCGATGGATGCAACACTCATAATCGAGGATTTGTTACAGAAAGTAAGTTTATATTTCAGTCTACATAATAGATTGAGTTTTGTCATGTGTCATATTTCATATTCACAATTACTTTTCATTATTTATCAAATATTAAATATTACATCGGCTATTTAATGTTGTTTTTTTGCGAGAATTTTAATTCATTTACTTAGAGATAAAAATATTTCTCGAGTAATATCAGCACAGTTAATTGTTGTTGTTGATTATTCTAGGACCCAAATAAACGTCTATCAGAAACGGACATCAGTAAACACATGTTTTTTGATGGAGTCCTATGGCCAGAATTAATCCAGACTTGACCTATCAATGAATATATTAAAAAAAAGAATTTCTTATTTGATTTAGTTATATTTATTTATAATTAATTTACTTTTCATTTTATGTTTAAATGATTTAACCGAATTAAAATAAAAATGAATTCAATTGAGTTGTTTGTTTTTGTAGTTTGTGTAATAATATTGTTTAATATTTAAAATTGAATTTTACAATACAGAGCTATCAGGAATTGCCTTTATTGATAATTTACATGTGCTACAACAATATTTGTCTCGGAAATTTTTAATTATTACAGAAATTTACATAAATAAGTAAGAATAATATATTAAGATGTATTCATTTAATACAAATCTATTATACAACATATACATTATATATTTTACTAGACTACAACACTTATAAAAGAAGAACTCCATACCTGTGGAGAGCAAAACTCTAATGATTAATTGCACCAGCACCGATTAAAATAATATTATATGTATATAGATTTATCTTTCCGGTAAAATTTCTATTAAAACAAGCTACGATTGAGTTTTACTTGTATCAAATTGACTCATAATAAGCGTATAAGTAAGAGCAACACTTATAATAGTTAAGACAAGATTACAATTGATCGTAAACATTTTTAGTGCAGAAAATGAGGGAAGATCTTGTAAACATTTAACAGAGAATCGATATGCCAAGTCTTGGACAATTTTCTCGTTACAAGAAAGAGATTTCATATAAACATCTTTACCTATTTTCTTTGCAGTTTNGTGTAGGTCATTTCATTGTTATCCACATTTGATATCATCATTTATCACATACTTCCATGGCACTCTTGTCTGTCCGCTACAACTGCCAAGAATTAACGCGATTGGCAAAGCGTAGTGACAGCGGACCAATAGAGAGCAGGATCCTTGCCATAATGCGGTTTACGCACCAATTTTCGTACGTGCATTAATCAAGTCGAATAGTTTGGCCGAATATTCGGCTATTCGGCCACGCTCCTGGCCGAATATTCGGTATTCGGCCTGAGGCCGAATATACTATTCGTTGCAACACTAATAAAAATATTTCTCGAGTATTATTAGCACAGTTAATTGTTGTTGTTGATTATTCTAGGACCCAAATAAACGTCTATCAGAAACGGACATCAGTAAACACATGTTTTTTGATGGAGTCCTATGGCCAGAATTAATCCAGACTTGACCTATCAATGAATATTTAAAAAAAAAGAATTTCTTTGAAAGAATTTCTTATTTGATTTAGTTATATTTATTTATAATTAATTTACTTTTCATTTTATATTTAAATGACATATTAATATTCAAAAAGAATTTTTCAAATAATAATTTCTTGTTTCATTCTGATAATTATAAAGAATTTATCTTTAATTGTATATTTAAATACAGTAATTTAATCTAATCGTTCTGAATAAAAAGTATTTTATTCAATTGTTTTTGGTATTTTGCTTATCGTACAATATTCAACACACCTTCATATTTTTTGGTGAATATTAAAAAGTCTGATGTAGGATTTGAATGGCGAATTGTCTGAACAAGCCCAAGTATAGATGAGGATAAAGAATACAAGATTGGTTAAATCCTGAATTAATAACACAATTAGTGCAAAAGATGTGTTATAAACGAATAAACACACATTATTCGGTTATTTATAAATTAAACACTAGTTGCTGTCTTTAAATTGACAGAAATAGAACAAATTAATTGTATTTAAAAAAGATTATTTATCAATTCAAAATGCTAGCTGCTGACGTATTTAAATTATTCACATATAAACACATTATTAATATATTAGGTTTGTTGTTTAATTAAGTAAAGATTTTATCGACACTCTAAGTCACAGATATATCAACACTTAAGAAGGATCCAATTGATTCTGAAACACGAGCCATGTGACTTTGATTATCCGATGCATGCAAATTTCCCCTTTGTGACAAGTCCAATTTCAAATTTATAACCAGATGCTTAACAACGATGTGACTATTTCAAAGTCGGTATTGATTTTCAAAAACTGTGACCAAGTTAGAAGTTCTTTATTTTTTTAGTTTTACACGTTCGGAAACAGGACCACGTTGAATACCATCTCCATCATCGCTAGTCTCTGTGTAGAATGAGTATCTTGTACAAATAAAATGTTTCTTGCTTGCAGCATCATAGCGGTATATTTTAGTATGAATTTTTTGTATTATTGTAAAATGCCATAGACCGGATGTACTGTACGCTTTCGTTAACTATTGCATTTAAGCAATGACTTAGACATTGCAGTTACAGCAAAATTGACAAAATCCTAAGATACTTTTATTTTGGGTAAGCCTTAATCTCATCCAATCGTTTTATGAATTTTTCTAACCACCATCTGATATTTGTGAATATGGCGTTTTCTTTGTCACTTTCATCTAACTGAGTGAAGATTTCTCTTCTTCGTCCATCATCATTCGTTTGAAGATGGTTATTTTTCTCTCGCTGCTCATAGATCTCCTACAAAAGTTTTCTTCTAATTCTTCGCCGATCTTCTTGCACTCTCCTACTGCCAGCTTCACTCTTATTCTTGATGTTATTTGCGGTGGTCATAAATTGTTCATAATTATAACGTATATAGACGGAATAAAACATAAAATTACACATAGACAAGAATTATTTCATAGATGTAATATAAAGATATGTTGCTGAAACAAACGTAATACTGTACTTATAACAAATATAATACTAAAATTTATCCATAATCAAAGTGATCGACAAATAAGCTATGTTTTTGCCTTTAAGTAGCCAATCTATTTTTAATAAATGATTATAACTGATTAACAGTCATTTCTTTAAACATAATAAAAGAATTACAGAATGCTCAATACTTTTCATTTAAGCTACGATAGTTCAATACAACAAATTATTATATTTCATGAATTTCTAAGTTATTGTAAGTGCAAAACAACTACAGTAAGATCGCGGATGAGTTCCTAGACGACAAAGCGCTAAACGAAATAGTGTTAAACGAGGTCATTTTAACATAGAATAAATAGGGAAAGAAAAACACGCGACGAAAAATAAACAGATTTTTACTTGAAGTTAGTTTTATATTAATGTGTATAATAATATATGTTAAATAACACTCAAACATATGCAGACAGACATGTAAAGTTTATTTTTTGCGGTGAGGATCCAGACTTTTCTTAAATTCTAAACGCGATAAATTGGTGTCGCTTTTTTTCTTTTCTTATGCAAATGTCGGTAGCGGAATGTCGCATCCAAAACGCCTTTCAAAATCTGGATCATTCGCTATAATTTGATGAACGATTTCGGTTATCGTTACCAAACTCTTACTAAGGAAATCTGTAGAGAAATTCTCTTCGTTATCAGAATCACTATCTCTAATTCTACACGAATTCCATGTTCTGGCAGTTTCGAAGGTCATCGTAAGCCTTTCAGCAGAAACCTGCAGTTGCTCCTTAATATCCTGCTCGTCTACATCTTCAGTTTTGCTGTATCGAATAGGTTGACAATTTGGTCAACCTGACGAAACAGTGATAGTCTCTTCTCGTTAAGAATTCTTGCATACCTACCACCATAACTTTTTCTACACTCCGTTCATGCATTTGTGGCGAACGACACCCTTCACATCTCAATTGTCGTGAAAAACAAGCAACGAACCCCGTGTGGTATGAGTCATCACTTCCTGGAACAAGTTCGAACTCACCCAGTAAGACCGTTGGCTGTTAGTTGTTCTNTTACATAAATAAGTAAGAATAATATATTAAGATGTATTCATTTAATACAAATCTATTATACAACATATACATTATATATTTTACTAGACTACAACACTTATAAAAGAAGAACTCCATACCTGTGGAGAGCAAAACTCTAATGATTAATTGCACCAGCACCGATTAAAATAATATTATATGTATATAGATTTATCTTTCCGGTAAAATTTCTATTAAAACAAGCTACGATTGAGTTTTACTTGTATCAAATTGACTCATAATAAGCGTATAAGTAAGAGCAACACTTATAATAGTTAAGACAAGATTACAATTGATCGTAAACATTTTTAGTGCAGAAAATGAGGGAAGATCTTGTAAACATTTAACAGAGAATCGATATGCCAAGTCTTGGACAATTTTCTCGTTACAAGAAAGAGATTTCATATAAACATCTTTACCTATTTTCTTTGCAGTTTCGGTTATTTGGGAAGAAGACAAGCAAATATCTACAAATAGAAAAAATGGAAACAAAGATAACGTCAAAAACATCACAATATCTAGTAATTTATAAGACAAAGGATCACTAACAAAATCGTAAAGAGTAAAAATGAGGTTTCCACCAGTTATAGTTGTCCATAAGAATAACAAAGGAGAATATATTTCTTCTAAGCTATCTACAATATCAATTATTTCAAAATATCTCATGGAAAAACGTGGAAAATTCAAAGATATATCTTTACTAACTCTAACAGATTTTAATATTTGATTAAGATTAGCTTCTATTTCTTTACAGATCATAGCAAAGAAAAGAAACAAAATATTCTGAGGTGCCATTAAAAATATAGTGTAAATCATTTCACCAAAAATTAAAATTAACATAGAAATATTTTCTGAAATTTCTATACCAAATATATTTTTCAATTTCCAAAAAATTGATATTCCTTCGATATTAAAAATAAGAAAAGATGAACTGTATAATACAGAATTTAGATAAGTTAATGCAAGTTTAATTATGATAATTTTCTTTCTCTTTTTTATAGAAATTCCGAATTTATACATTTTTATTAAACGTTTAATCATTGTAAGAAGCTTATGGTTATTTACAAGAAAGCTATGAATAGAAATTGATGTAATGATCATGGAAATCATGAAATGTAAAGAAGTAATACCCATCTTTACTGAAGGTCTATTGTAGAAGTTCGTGACTACTGAAAAAGTGTAGTATATCATATACATGTTTGCAGATACCAACACAATTACACTATGAAATGTGTATCCTCTTGTTTGAAACTTCAATCCCCAAAGAGCCAAACTCTTCAGTAA